TTCTTCTTCTTCTTCTTCTTCTTCTTCTTCTTCTTCTTCTTCTTCTTTTGGAATGACATGTTTTCTTTATCCATTCCTGTAGTTACAAATATTATCCATTCCACTGGTCCCCTTGGACCAGTTTCTCTCCACCCACCAGGTCCCACTCATTAGGTCTAGCAGCCATTTATGAAATATCCATTCTGAAGCTTAATATTAATTACATACTCTTGGGCCTATTATCCCAGGCTTCTTATTAACTAACTCTTATATCTTAAATTAACCCATTTCTATTAATCCATGTATCATCATGAGGCTGTGGTTTACTGGTAAGGTGCCAGCGTCTTTCTCCTTCCACAGCTACATGGCTTCTCCCGGGATCCACCTTTTTTCTCCCTGCATTCAGTTTAGTTTTTCTGCCTACCTATATTCTACTGTGCCATTGGCCAAAGCAGTTCTTTATTAACCCAAGAAAATAAAACATATTCATAGCATGCAGAGGGGAATCCCACATCACATTCCTCTGCTGTTGAACACCCAGGTTGGTTTCATGATTCAGTGATATTGAATCCTGATAAAATAAATTGGTGTTCAAGTAAAGATAAATTAACTAAACCAGTAGGACTGGCGATGTAGCTCAGTGGTGTGGTGCTTGCGTAGCTTGCATAGCACGTGGGAAGCTTTAGTACTATCCCTGGTACAACAGGCAAGACGGAGAGGAAAGGTCAGAAAGAAGGGAATTCCATCCAAGTAGATACAGAGCCAAGTTGCTAGGGTCCCTGACTGCAGGGGGATAACAGAAAGATGGGCAATAACCCTTCTCTTCCCCAATGACCGTCCTTGGCTTCTACACTTTCCCAAAGAGCCCGTTCCTGAAGCTCAAAATGTGACTGAGAGTGATCTAGGACTCCTGATTCTCCTTTCTCTACCCTCCTGGTGCTGGAATTACAGATGTGCACCACGATGTCTCATTTATGTGGTGCTGGGAATCAACACCAGGGCCTCGAGAGGGCTAGGCACTTTATTAACCGACCCATTTCTTTACAAAGGTATTTTAAAGGAGTGGGGCTTGAAGTGAGCCTAGTTCACTTCATCTTCCAAAATTCCTACCCATGAATACCTTAGCCCACCTGCATCTCAACCTTTCCATCTAGACAATTAGAGCAACAAAACTACAGTTCGTATATCAGAGGGTTAGAGGCAGGGGGATACAATTAGTTATAATAATAGTAATGTGAAAATTTGGATGTGAAGTTCTTAG